GTTAAATAAAATAAAATATTATTATGATAAATTTTGCATAATAATCCCACCGCCATTACTTTTTTGGGGGACTGTATATAGATCATAATGATTGGGGAATTATTTGTTTAGGATTTGAGATAAATTTTTTATTGACATGTACTTTACGATCGTGAAAATTGGTTTCACAGTTATGAACCAATTTTCAAATTCTATTTCTTCGTTTTCTCATAAGCCATAACATTAAAGAATACAGTAATCATAACCCTTCGTAATTTTATAAACTATCTAATAAACCCCTTGTTATTCAACAATATATATATTAAGTGCATATGTGAGTGCGCTTGTTTAGATGATAAAATTATGGATTCATATCTGTTAGCAAATATACATATTTCACTCATTTTTTTAAAAGCAACATCAAATTGGTGTACTTTTCTCGCACTATTACTATTATGTAACACGGCGGCATTTGCATGACCCTAAACACAAGAGTCAGATACAAAATTTCGACACAACCTTTAATTAATTTTTTAATTTATTATTATTAATTAAAAAAAAAAAAAACAATTATACATTTACATAAAAACATAGCAAATATGACTAAAAAAAAAATTATAAGAACGAGGTAAAGATGTTGATTATGATAACGCCAAATGCAATAATGAAAATATTATAATTGATCGTTGTAACAGCAGAAGTTTGATAGGTAGGAACACCATTTGTAGAACTAGCAGTAGTAGTAGCAGTAGTGTTAGACACAACACTTTCGAGATAAGGAAGTTCGTTCGTACAATTAGCAATTGTTTTAATCTTAAATCCAGCACCAATAACGATATCAATGGCTTTGGGAGCCTTTCCAACAGTTTGTTGGTACAAATCATGTTCCAAAGAAACATGACCGGTTGTTGATGCTTCGTTTACCCATTGTGTGAAATTTGCTGGTATCCAATTTAAATCGTAAGTTGGATCTTGTTGAGACATCCAATCAAAGGTATCGTGATCCCATATGACAGACTTATAACCCAACTGTTTTGCTATATTCCTTACACGATCATCATAATCACCTCTTGGCGGTCTCATATATTTGGGAGTAAGTCCGGTTATTTCTTTGATGATTTTTTCGGTCCATTTTAATTCAGCTATGATTACTTCGTTTGTTTGGGTCGTTAATGATGTGTGTGACCAAGTGTGAATTCCGATTTGATGCCCTATTAATTATTTTTATTAATATTTATTAATATTTATTTTATTATATAAATGAATTATTTTTTTTTTGTACCTTCTTTAGATGCTCGCAATAAAACATCCGGATGATTTGTAGCTCTGGAACCAATAACAAAAAATGTTGCTTTCAAACCCTTCGACCCAAGATAGTCTAAAATTGTTGGTGTAAATGGTCTACAATAATAATAATAACAATAAATAAAATAAAATAAAATAAAATAAAATAATTTTTTTTATACTTGAAAAAATAAAAATAAACTTACGAAGGACCATCATCATATGTAATACCCCAATCTTTTTTTTTTTATAAAATATAAATTAGATGACGAAGAAAAATCAAATTTTAAGAACATAAATATTTTTTTTTTTATTAAAAAGTTTTACCTCCTTTTTGAGGACAAATTTTAACATCAGTCTCATTTTTTACACAATTAGTACATGACCAATAACAAAATGGATCTTTAGGATCACAAGGATCGCCTACTTTTCTGACAGGAGCATTTGGAACTTTAGAAGAGTCAACAAGAGCAGTCCAAGCTGCGACAGGTGGCGGCGGCGTATCTACTGGAGGGTAACCAGGTCTTTGAGCCTCTATAGCTATTGGTGATAATGCTAACAAATAAATGGCAGTTCCAAATAATAATAATAATGAATTTCTAAACATTTTTCTCTAAAACGTGAATAAAAAAGAAGGTAATTATTTCAAAGAAAATTTTTTTTGTTTATTTATTTTGGTAGTTGGCTGGTTAGTGTATCTGTTCAACAGAGAACTAAAAAAAAATTCTATGAAAATAAAGAAAGATTCTCTGAAGAAAATTCTAATTAGTGAAAAAAATTTAAAAATGAAGAGTCGTCAACTAATAGCTTTATATTTTTTTTTGATATTTATACAGTTTTTAGAAATTAATATTAATATGGTTATTATGATTAATTTACGCGACAATTGGATAATTAAAATTATTTATTTAATTAACTATATAAATCGAATTAAATTTTTAATTTCATGTATATAAAAAATAATAATAGCATACATTCAAATTTTAATTTTAAAAAGTTTTTTAAATCCTGAAATTAATTCTATTCACCAAAGAATGAAGCGCCAAGCTTGCCAAGGAAAAAATTATTTATCTATGTCATATAATGACGAATTTAGTTTATACAATTCTATTTTTGGAATAAATTATATGGTTTTACTTACTCTTGGCTACAACAATGAAAAAAAAAATTTATTATTATTATTTATTATTATGAATCGGCTGTTTTATCAGATAGATGATCCTGATAATGTAAGATCAATTAGAACCATGATCGGGAAACTGATAAAAATAGATTTTATTTATTTATTAAGAAACTAACTGGTTACTCCTAAAGCCTTCAATATTGGTTACTCAGTTTCAAATACGACGCTCCTTATGTTTGAAAACGATAATAACCCTCCCATTACAAATACTTGCTTCATTCTTCCTCTAATCTTTCCAGTCCTCTTATTATTGTTACCAACAACACTTTCAACTTCAATCGAATATTCTGTCTGCTGCCAATTTATAATTTTAACTTTAAAAAAAAACAATTGTAATAAAAAAAAATCTGTGACATACATAAAAAATAAACTAGAAAGGGTAATCCTATATATATATACAGTGTAGGTCATCTAAAGACATCAAAAAAATCGTCCAACTTCAAACCAAAGGCTTTTTTTTTTATTAATAAAATTGAAAAAACTCTATTTTTGCAATCTTTACTGTTGTATGTGAAATTGAAATTATGTGAAATTGAAATATTATGGAATGGGGTGAAATTCTGATTGGCTAATTTGATTTTCACATATGTAAATTTGATTTTCACATATGTGAATTGCGAATTCACATAATTTCATTTCCACGTACAACAGAACCGAAGCAACAATGAAATAGAGAGCTTTTTTAATAATAAAAAAAAGCCTTTGTGGTTTGAAGTTGGACGATTTTGCTATCAAATATGACAATATGATCCTTCCTATTTGGGAAAGGATCACTGAGACTCGTGTGAAATTGAGTGCGGGCGCGTATGTTATATAAAAAATGCACACATTTTGTTGATCAAAAAAATTTTTTAGTGAATTTAAACTATTTATTCTTTTTTATTTGTCCAATGTTCATATTCTTTTTCAAAATTTAAAATCTTGAATATCTAGACCATTTAGTAAAATCATTAAATACTATTAAGCATTTTTAAATGAATAAATAGCAATAAAAAATTGTTTTTTTTATCTAGATTTTTTATTGATTTGATTGAACTGAAATATTGAATTTTAAAAAACATCTTGTATTTATGGTATTTTAATCAATAATCATCAATGACAAAAAATGGAATTATTCTAGTATAATAAATAAAAGTATATTTGTTTATTTTTGGTTATTAATAAAAATAGAATTATACCTGAAACCATCAATGATTTATTGTTAACAAAAATGGAATTTTTGGTTATCAATAGAATTATACTCAAAAAACGTCAATAAAAATGGAATTATTCTAATGTTTGTTAAATAATAAATATTAATTAATTTTTTTTTTCGATTTGTTACACGAATTTTCTGAACAAACCCTGTCAATAGATTTTAATAGCACGCGCGCACTCAATTTCACGAAAATATCTTGGAGTAAAATTTCTGCTTTATTATTTTGACTGGTAAGTTCTTTTTTATTACTTGTTATTGTTACTGATAATATTATATCATATTACAAAAATTTCTTTATAACATTTAAATAAATAGGTTTTTTTTGATCATCTTTATAAAATTTATATGGGAATTTGTGGAAATTGTAGTGTGTGTTATAAAAAACAATATATTATTATTAAAAAAATGTAAAATAAACTTATCATATAAATTAACTTTTAAAATTAACAAATTTAATATAAAGACAATATAAAGAAAATCCCATGAATTAACCATATAATGCTTAACGTTATGGGTGATGGCGGTGGCGGTATTGTTGATGGAGCCATCTTAATTGTTTCCGATAAAGTTATTCATAAGTTGATCGTAAGTTTGGTAGAAATGGTCGGTAGAAATGTTAGGAAATTGATGTATTGGGATAAATTCAGTCAGACCCGATGTCAAACTAAATTGATGAATGATATTTTCGCCTAATTTTTTTTTTTTCATTGAAAAAGTAAAAGGAATAAATTTTCGTAATTACTTTTTTTAAAATAAATTAAAAAACAATTTAAATTTTACCTCTACTGTCATGGTTATTATCGTAATTGTTT